TTCTTTCATTTTCTATTTTTCGTGGCATGAAGAAAGTTGGGTTCAATTTTCCTCTCTGATTGATGCTTTCAAGGGCTCAGATTTTGCAGGCAAGAACATCCTAGCTACGTGCTGCCAAAACCCTAAAACGCCATGACTACATGGAGATCTTAATTAATCATCCGCAGCTGCTTCCTAGCAACTACTTCATCATTCATTAGCAATTCAGCGTGCATGTAATTGATTAAGTACTCGTTTAATTCGTGTTTAGAACTTTGACTCTCCGTACTTTTTGTTTCTTCGATAATGAACTTAACTTCCGTACTAAGAGTAGTTTTTGTTAGTGTTTGGTAATTTGTATTAAATTAGAATGACTGATCAGTATTCTAATTTGGTTAATGAACTTAAATTCTCTTGTTAATATAGTTTCTGGTTGAACCCTAACTTCATGAATCTTGTCCATCCGAAGCCTTGCGCTATCAATACGATTGCTAGAAGAGTCAATCACTACTAAACCTTACATAACCATAACATAGGTGGCTTAATAACCTTTGCATAGAGACAAACTTGAAAGAAAGGATACATCTGAGCTAATTTTATTGAATTTTTTGTGCATATTGTTGTGCTCCTTGCTTTCGCCGAGGGGTTTGTCTGGTAAGTTGCGATGGTTTCAAGACACATTCTTAAGAGACAAGTGACTAGTTTCCTTTTCCAAATCTCTAGTTACGATTTTTTTATGTTTCGAGAGTACTTATCTTAAACACTAATATCTGTTGAAAATATCACGTTTAAAAATGGGAAAAATATAACGAACTTCAGAAATCAAAAAACAAATAACCAAGATAAATAACACCAAGAATTTACAGTGGTTTGGCAATATGTGCCTACATCCACAGGACAGCAACAACAATCTTTCACTATATCAATAATGAGTACAACCAATAACCTTACCAAATCTCTAGAACTAAGACTTGACGAAAAACCTGAAAGAACAAGAACAAGAAATACACTATCTCTTTTCTTTTCTCTCGCACGCACTTTATAATAATCTCTCACTCTAATCCCTTGAGTGGTATACAATTTATTGTTTTGCTCCCTTAAATTCAAAACTAGTACAATAACCCCTTTATATAGACATAATAAAGGTCTTCTTCAATAATGATTATTAATCATAATTGGAATCTAGTTATAAATCCTACTGCAATTGAGAAACTAACTCCAATTGGGTAAACAACTCCAATTGGGAAAACAATTCTAATTGGGAAAACAATTTAATCCTCTAAGACTAAAATTCCTCATAAACTTAGGACAACTTATCATGGGTTGGAAAAACCTAACAATCTTCCCCTCCAGACCATGAGGAAGGTATACAAAAAATAAATAAATAATAGGATTGCTCCTCTTGACCAAACTCCCATTGATCAAAGTTTTCATGACCAGACTCCCCCTTATCGAACTACTCATTTTCATTGGCAAAGGCAAATATAGACTTCTTTGCAAGAAACCATCAATCATCTGCATTAAAGAAGCTCTTCATCGCAAGTCACAACACCTACAATATTGTTCCCATCATTTTGTTCCTTTTTCCATTTACGACAATGCTTCTTCATGTGACCCTTTTCCCACAATAGTGGCAGCCACCATTGAATCTCATCTCACCATAATTTTTGCCTCTTTTCTTTGTCACAAAGAGGTGTCTAGCGCTTGCACTTGAAACTTTTCTCCTTGTTTCTTCATTAAACATGATATCCTTAACAGCATTCATAGACAGTACGTCATTAGAAGCCGAATTGCTTACAATTAGGACGAAGGTTTCCCAACTATCTGGCAAAAATCCTAGCAATAATAGTGCTAGTAGCTCTTCTTCAATATTCAAACCCATAGTGGCTACCTGATCACGTTCTGAAAGTTGTTCAAGTGCTTAGTTACACTAACATCTTCCGCATACTTCATGTTGACAAGCTCTTTGATAAGGAATGCTTTCTTGGCAGCGGTTTTCTTCTCAAAGAGGGATTCTAACTTCTTTCAAAGAGCTTGCGCATCAGTTTCTTTAGACACATGGCGATAGAGGCTCTCAACCACCCATTGTCTAATCGTACCAATAGTTTTACGATTCATCTTGGTCCAATTAGCATCAGACATATTTGCTGGCTTGCTATTAATAACTTCAATCGGCTCATGGAGATCTTTACAATAAAGCATGTCCTCCATTCTTGATTTCCATGTAACCCAGTTGAAGCGGGGGAGTTTCATCATAATTGCATCCTCCATTCTAAACGGATATCAGCCAAACTTGGCTCTAATACCACTTGTTGAGAATATCGCATTAAAGAATGGGAAAAATAGAACAAACTCCGGAAATCGAAAAACAAATAACCAAGATAAATAACACCAAGAATTTATGTGGTTTAGCAATATGTGCCTACGTCCACGGGACAACAACAACAATCTTTCACTATATCAATAATGAGTATAACCAATAATCTTGTCAAATCTCTAGAACTAGGACTTGACGAAAAACCTAAAAGAACAAGAATAAGAAATACACTCTCTCTTTTTTTTTTTTTGGCACACACTTTACAATATTCTCTCGCTCTAATCCCTTTAGTGGTATACAATTTATTATTTTGCTACCTTAAATTCAAAACTAGTACAATAGCCCCTTTATTTAGACATAATAAAGGTCTTCTTCAATAAGGATTATCAATCCTAATTGGAATCTAATTATAAATCCTACTCCAATTGAGAAACTAACTCCAATTGGGTAAACAACTCCAATTGGGAAAACAACTTTAACTGGGAAGCCAATTTAATCCTCTTAAGACTATAATTCCTTATAGACTTAGGACAACTTATCATGGGCTGGAAAAACCTAATAATATCTATGTGAACTTGAAATTGAATTGCCAAACTAGGGACCAAGAACGTGCCAATAAAACTATAATGTTCGTGAAACCCTAATACCGAATCATAGAAAAGATATTTGATGTGCAAGACCCATGAATTATTTTCTTTGATTATTCTATTATCCAATTTGAGCACGTAACCCTATTTTTCAGCAATATTGGGAGACTAAGGGCTCGTTTGAGAAGCGATTTTAAAATAGTGAAAGCGCTTTTCATAAAAATATTTGGAAGCAATTCTTAGTAAAAATACAAGTGAATCTTGTAAAAGTACTTGAACTGCTTCATGCAAGAAGCAAATAACTAATGGTTCTTGCATGAAACACTTCAAATACATTTGGAATAAACAAAATATGGAAAATGCTAGGAAAACCAAATTTTCAGACCATTTTTTGTAGACCACATAATGTGGCGGTTGATAATTGGGCTGTTTTGTTGATGATTTAAAAATGAGTCGAGCCATTTCTCATCACATCATGTGATCTATAAAAGATGATCTAAAAATTTAGTCTCTCTAGGATCACCCTAAAAATATTCTCTAAACGCGCTTTCAATCATTTTAAAAGCACTCCAAAATAAGCCATAAGTTTCTATTTGAAAGTGATTTGTGAGAGCTAAAAACACTTTCTAATGAGTACAAGCACCATTTTTTTTTTATGAAATTTTTTTTTTTTATCGTTTGGCAAAGGGGCCTCACCATTTACAGATTGGTTAGCAAGCAGGGATTCTTGTACTCGGCCTTTCTTTTCGGTAACCTGTTCGGCCCTTGGTCCATTGAGGCTATGCTAACTAAAAAGCCCCAAACCTTCCGAGTATAGAGGTTTCGGTTTCGGTTTCAAAGTCACTTTTATCAACGAGTTTGGAAATTTGACCTTGAAACATCGCTCAGAGTGCCAGGTTCGATTAATCAGTAAGCGTTCGTCAAGGTGGAAGTGGCCTTAAACGACGTCATTCCTGATGTCAAATGATTGCTACAACCTTGACATGAGTCGCGACATTGGTTTTAAGTACTTTTCACACATGCACACGAACATGCACACTAATCTTCCTCCTTAATCTAAACATTATTGATTTAATCATGTCAAATGCAAAGACGAAGCCCTTCATACTTTATGTCCGAGTTGTATGTATAAATTTTACACACACACACATATTGCTACATAAGAGAAATGTTAAGTAGATTCTCTCAAAAAGTGGTACTCTTCATGTTTCTCTGTCACCTCATGTTTTTTGACACAATATTTTATAATATTGGCATAAGAATTGATGTTAAACTATAAGGTGATAGAAAATTTATAGAAAGTCTTACTTTGAGAGTCTCCTGAGTATTTTTGTGCTATATAAAATAAGCAGGATCCTAGTCATGTGTCAAATGATTGCATTCCAAATCTCATAGATTAATGCATAAATATAATTAATTAAAAGGAGTGATTAGTGAATAGTGAGCACTAATGGTTGGTGGCTTTCAACTTCGAAAGGTGGATAAGAGCCTTGGCCACTCCACTCTTTTTGCTTTAATTGGAAATGATTTAAAGTTAAGTGATCACAAATTCTAGGGTTTTGGGATAATGTATAAAACTACAGTGGACATCATGCTGCAGCACAACTGTATGATAATTAACTATTAAACAAAGATACCGTCGATAAGGAAGCTAATTAATTATCTACCACGGGATGGTTCAATGATTGGGGCAAATTTCAAGTTTTTACACGATTGATTATGGGTTCAATTTTCTATACTTGTGAATCACAAGATGGTGCTCAAGAAGAAGCTGAAATGCCTATGTTAGTCTTTCCGACCCGTGAAAGGTTGGACTGCCATGACCCCGCTATCAGCTGGTTCCTTCTTTTATATAAAAAAATGTAGCTAATTAACTTGAGATTCACTCATGTCACTAATTTATCAGTTGGCAATCTCTATTCGACGGATAGTGCACTTTTTAAGTATATGTTTCGTGATCAGAGTGATATTAGTGTGGGATTATATCCCAGTTGCCGCTTAGAATTTCTCGATGATCAGGCATGATATCTTCCACAAAATCAACCACAGTTATCCATATGCCCAAAGAGAGAGAGCAGGTGCAATTTGAACACCATCACAGTAAATTGGACCAATGATAGTGTAATAATATCTTAAATCACTCGATTACCGTAAAAGTTTGCAGATAATTAACATAAAGGCATCTATAGCAACTTACAAAAATCCAGCTTACATAGCTTTTAGCCTTTTACCACATCAAAACTAGATAGCTATATTTTCCTTTCGGAACAGAGTCTTGCTACCAATGGGTATCTAAAGTTTCTACCAGCCTCTCTGTGGAAATGTTGGAATTCTGATGCTGAAGATCCAAACTGCCTCCAGCAACCTGCACATTCGTTAACACCGTTTTTAATCGAATCCGCACGAATATCCTGCATAAAGTTACATAAACGTGGAGATGTAGCCAGCAATTTCATGGTTCTTATTTCATCCCTAATGCATACAACATTTATCTCTATTATGCTGCTGCTCGATTTCGGATGACCTTTTCAAGCTGGGAATGCTTGACAAGGTGTGATAAAAGAAACAAGGGCAGAGATTTTAATTAGTGGAAACACTTACATAATCACATTGTTGCTTGCATGCCTGTCGGGAAACAGTAGAATTTTCCATTTTCCTGCTTTACTTGGAGAAAGTTCCTCTCATGCTCCACTCTCTGAAGGTGTGATGACAATTGAAGCAAATCAAAAGTTGTTCCGCATTCAGGAGAAACACAATACTTGGCACTCAAGCAATCTGACACATGATAAGCCCTGTCTGTGTGAAGTTGGAAGTCAGCAGCATGACTAGAATCAGAAATGTTTGCTGATTCCATGTGGTTGGCTCCCATAGATTTCTTACTAAACGGGTAGGTCCTGTTTCGTCCACAATTTTCCATGGAGTTTACCCTCGAAGTGTTTTCATTAAGTTGACCAAAACAGTGATGGGCTCTTTGATTGATCAGGGGGTTAGGCACTTGAACTCCGGCTGAATGGCTTGATAAGTTATGCGGTTGAGCTGACAGAAGAGAGAGAGCACAGCTGGAGTTTGAAGCCCCAAATGCTTTCTGAGTATTTGATGCTGTATCAAAGACAGAGTATTCATTTCCTGACGAGGGAATTCCTGGAGCAAACTGTTTTCCAAGGCCAGGCAGATGGTGGAATGATTTTGGGATAAACTGCCTGTTTGGTATAGGTGTTACAGACTGACCATAGGTTGACCCGTCTTCAGATTTGACATTTCCATATTGGTTAGTTTGCTCATATTCTGGATACAGAATGCAGCCATCTGGAAGTTTATCCGAAAAAACAGAGGGTGTTCCCTTCGGAAAGGAGCTTCCCATATACCCGTTTCCTGCAAATACCATATAAAAGCCAACCATAAAAAACATAGTTCATGAAGTCATCCTATCATGCAATTAGTTCAAAAGATCACATATTACTTCTTGAGTGTTTTAAGATAGATACTTTTATAAACGATTCCTGTATGAATGTGGATTCCTAGACAGAAGATATATATTCATCTGCATAACAAGTGCCTTTTTATTATGTTCTTATCGAATGTTTTGAGAATGATACTGTTTGCACACGCTTTAATCCTTAATGCCGATTTGTGCTGAGTATTCCTTTTAGAAGCTCCAAAACTAACTTTACAAAAATCTGTGGATGGAGAGAATTGAAAGAATCTCTGTGGGTGGCTGATGTGGCCACACCCTTTTAACCTTGATAGCTCAAAAGGTTTTTTTCTTTCAAAATAGCATATTATAGGTAAAGACATGTAGTGGGAGAAAAGAATAGCATAAAAGTTATCTTCTCTTATCTCTAAATTCCAACCACAGACATGCTCAGACAGCAAGGTTATTCCATTACCATTTTTATGAAACTATATGCATCAAACATGGTTCTAGAATCTTGCGATCTTACGAAAATGCTAAGGCTGTTTAGTCCTCTTGTGACAAAAGTAACATGGATCATTTTCGATTTCTTTTTCCTTCTTACTGAAAGTTCCATCGGTGAAAAATCCGTCAAAGTTCTGGCTTGGTAAGCATTGCGGCAGATTTAAAGAAGAACAGAGAGTACATTTTAGAAGAAAATAATAAATTCAGCTCGGTTAGTGCGAGGCGTGTCACAAGCAGATTGAATATACGGGATGTTCATACCTTGACATGTCCGTATCAACTTATGCGGTTTACAATCGAGGGTATCTAGTAGAGGCTTCCTTCGGCGAAGGTTGTGGCCAGCTAGGCGCCTACGACAACTGCGCTTCACATCATCAAATTCAGCAAGAAGATGAAACCTAATCACAGAAAAATGCCCTTGTTCATACTTCAAACCACTTGTAACAATTAAGCACTTTGATATTCAAAATCACATGTCAATTAAAACCATGTCAAAGTTGAAAACCTACACTGGAGCAAATAAAACTAGAATTTTCTGAAGCTCAAAAAAACTCATTTAGTTCATATCACACGGAATCTTAGACGTGTAGAGGTTAGCGAGAGCTTCCTATTTGGACTGGGAGAAGATCATATCACTGTCCAATCAAAGTCCTAGGATTTATTTGAGTATCACTAACGCATTTGAAAAAGAAAAAAAAAAAAGCATGGAATCTCATAAATGTCGTATAAAGGTCGAGGCTGAAGCTGAAGTTGAATAAAAAAGATACAAATTTCCTCTTCTGTTTGTGGAGAAAGAATTATATTTTTCTTACGATTTTCAACCATCAAATGGAGTGTCTGGGAATCGATCCCTCACAATGCGTATGAGATCCTACTATGTGCCAAATCCTAGGACCAACAATGAGGTGAAATTCTGAATCTGCAAAATAACTTTCCTCAACTCTATTTCACATTTCATATATACTTACTGACATGTTTTTACTCCTCATAAATCATGATCAACATAGGAAGTCATCACTTAACCTCAGAAATAAGAACTGGGATTCGCGGGTTTATTCCGGATACAAAATTAGGAAACGAATTAACACTAATCTTCCTATGATCATATGCCAGTATAACATTCTATAAACATTTAAGGACAAGCAAAGTAAAAGTAAATGCATAGGCAGAATTCAGAAGAAAAAAAAAAACCACCTGCTGCACTGCTGGCAAAACCGCTGTTCGATTCCATTAACAATCACTACGGCAGTCTTGGAGTGAGCATCACAAACCCTATGCCTCTTGTGGTAATCCTTTGAGAAGGTAAGATCCATGTTACACCCATGGACTTGGCAGGTGGGAGCGGGATGGTTCAAACTCCTCGGGCCATTGCCAGCTTTTTTCGACCTCTCTGTAGAAATCGAATGCTGAATATTCTGCCCACCTCTGCTATCAGCCAAGCTTCCTAGCTTCAAAGCAATCATTGATGAATCCATACTACTGCATTCAGTCACAGGGCCTGAAAACTTCGACCCGGATTCTCCCTCACCAAAAGATGAATTTGAACTAATCAAACAACTCGGTGAAGCTACAGAATTATAACTAGAATCATTACAAACCACACCATTCAAGATTTCCACTCCTTGGTTAATATCAGGGAACCCCAAATCCATGAACCCCACGCTGTCAACTGATTCCTTGCCAAAATTAAAGCAAGTTTTGTCATCCAATTCCAGGAATGCTTTTCTAGTATTCCTTGAAAATGCATCAGTTGGTATATCGATTTCTTCCGGAAACAAAAACCCTTTCTCTTCTGAACCAAAACTCCAGGACTCCATAGGTAGAAACAGAATCTAATTCAAGCAGTATTCTGCAGCAATGTTAAATTCCTACCACAATTCACAAAAGCAAAAGTTACATTAATTTCCGTTTCTAAATAAATCACAAGAATAGGAAATGCAGGCAAATAATATCAACAATCAAAGCAATAAACATCAATTAATGAAAAATTTAGAGATGCCAAGAAAAAACACAGCCAGGATACTGCATGAAATTAAACAAACGCATCAAACAAGAAGATGAACCCACTGCTTCCCTAATTAAGTAGTAACAAGAAAATCATTTCTTTTTTTGGCTGCAGAGCAATCGCAGGAACAAAGTAGAAAACGGGGAAGTTTTGATTTTGATTTTTATGAGATAATTAAGTTTAATGCTTCATTCCACTTTCGCTCTCATCGATTTTCTCAGCAACCAAACAGAGCCTCAAAACTCAAACCAAAATATACCCAGATTATAGAATTACATCTTCCACCGACTTTCATATTTGAAATCACCCAAAGAAAATGAAATGTCCAAGCTCAAATTTTTGTGTCAAAAAACTACGAGTAAGAAGAAGCAGTGAAAAGATGACATTTTTTTTCAATTTTTGAAGAAGCAGAGAAAATAATACATAATACCCATTTCAAGAAACAACTTAAAACCCATTTCACGTCTGTGGGTTTTCGATACTAAAAAATTATATATGCGAAACAAAATGGCTGTTGAAAATTTTCTGCTCGTTTTCCTATAGTTTCTCGGGAACCAAACAGAATATAAAATGGAAAAAAAAGACATCTGAAAAGGATGGATTTTGCATACCAAATGAAACCAACAAGAATCAAGGCACGAAGCGAGCGAGTGGTGAGAGAGAGAGAGAGAAAGGGAGAGGGAGAGGGAGGGAGGGAGGGAGGGAGAGGGAGAGTGAGAATAATTTCCAGGTTTTTGGTGAGGTCGAAGCAGATACACTATGATTGTGAGTCAACAGAATTCTCAACGACTGACCAAAAGCATGCCTCGAGGTCTTTTCTAGTTTTTAAGAATTGAAAATTAAAATGATGTAAAATTCCATTTTTGTCCATCTCTTTTCCTTGTTATTACAGGGACAAAGTGGAGGATTTGCTTTCCCCTTTGTTCATTTTCCCTCCAAACAATTGGGGTTAAAGTTAATTTAGGTAATCAATTCATTTAATTATGTGTCCCTTTAGAGGATGGGCAAAATATACCAATTTATTTAAATTTCACGGTTACAGTTATAGGTAACCGTTTAGATAAATAAAATATTACGGGTATAACCATTTACCCGTAAAATTTAAATGGGTGATTATGAGTATTAACCGCGGTTATAAACGGGTAACTGTTTACCCATTTATTTTATATATGTAAAATTAACACAAACCATGTTCTCGGTCCAATAATACTTAGCACCCAATAAATTAGCAAGGAATTCATCGGTCCTTCTCTCAATAACACTGCTACAGGAATGATGATTCTCATCCACAAGGAATTTGCCAAATTAATTTAAATTCCTTACTGATAACCATGAAATTGACTGACTTGTCTTCGAAACAATTTTCGTAACCCAATAATAGTTTGCAAATATTATATTAGCTTCATTGGTAACAATTAAAAATATCGTCTGTAAACTGTAATTTCAATTATTGGAATGGTATAAGGACTTAAAAAATTAAAATACGGAAATGTATGATGAATGTACCTATAACGGTGTTTAATTGTCAAAAAAAAAAAAAATATGACAATTTTTTTTTTTAATTTTCAAGTTGTTAAAAAACATGACGGGTGAAAAAGGGGTAATCGTTCAAAAAAAAAAAAAAAAAAGATAAACTGGTTAAAATGGGTAAATGGGTAAACGGGTATTAAACAGTTACGGTTAAATGGGTATGCGATTATGGGTATGGTTAACCGTTTATAAACGGTTATGCAGGTATGAGCATAAACGGTAATAGGTAAATAACTGCGGTTACTTGTTCGCCATAACCATTGCCCATCCTTAGTCCTCTACAGGGTTTGAATTTGACTTGCGTTTTCATCAAATTGTACTTTGTGCTGATTTGGTATTGTTGTGCTTTGAAAGAAAAAAAAAAAAAAAAAAAAAAAAGATTCTACTGTGCTGTGAGAATAAGCTCATTTTTTCTACTTCACGTTTACAGCTTTTTTTGTGACAACCCGTTCCAAATTTTACATTTTTAATTTATTTTAAAAGCGTGAGTTTACGAAATTGCCCTAGAGGCACGGACTTTGACTTCTGTTGACCATTGACTTGAGAGATGTGGGACTTATTCTTTTAGCATATCCTCGTAGTACTCATTGGTACGAACGTATAGGCGAAAACCGTTTGCGAGTCCGAATTATAACGGTATAGTTACGGACGTTCGAAATTGGTTATTCAAGGTGAGTGTTTATTTAAATTAATGGAAGCCCAATCAGAAAGAAAGAAGAAAAAAAAAAAAAAAAAAAAAAAAAAGGGAAAAAGGCTTCCCGTGCACCCATACCCGCACCACCGCGAGGCCATATTCCAAGGCCGATTCCGGCCAACTCCGGTGGAGTTTTTCGATGCCACCACCACCATTTTGAAGCTCTCATTCCCCTCTACAAAACCCACCCAAGAACCACCTTGATTGACCACGGGATGTGGAGGTTTGAGGCCACGAAAGTTGACGAAAATCAATGGTGCTCCGGCCACCCTTCTCCATTTTCCGGCAAATCGGCAAAGCGATGGCCGATGCCACCACTTGGGCTTTGTAGCCCATCATCCCAGGAGCAAAACCCAACCAACCTTGACCCCGTTGGACCACCGTAGACGACGAATCGACGTCGGGAAGTTTTAGGCACCCGCCGGCTTCGTGGGCAAAATTGACCATCTTCCGTCCACTTTTGGACTTCGTGGCAGGTATGAAAGTTGCTCCACTCACTGAGATCTTCATTTCTGTGAAGTTTGATAATTTTTGGAATTAGTTGGATTTTCCGGCGAGTCGGGGCGGCCGACCGCCACCCGCGGCGGCGCGTGCGGCGGCGCGTGGCCGGTGAGCCGCCAATGCTATTTTTAGGCTATGTCGAATGTTTTGAATTCAGTTTTGTCATTTGAATGACGTAGGTTGATCGTTGGAACCTAAATTCGTTATAAAACGCTACTTGATAAAAATGTGAATCGATGATCTGACCGTTGGATCGTCACCAAAATTGGATACATTATAATACGTAATATTTAAAGATCATAGGAATTTACGGATCGGGAATCCGACTTACGGATCTTCCTGAATTGGATTTGTAAGTTAGTAAAATAAATGTTCACGGCCACTTGTTTTAGGCAATTGGCGAAGATCTGACCGTTGGATCGTAATGAAATTTTAAGATGTTATTCTAGAAACATATTGTGGATCATTGGAAGTTGCAGATTGGAAATCTGATATGCGGATCTTCCGGGTCAGGTTATACAGGGTTGTAAACCCTACCGTCGATCTTTGATCGACGGTTGACTTGTGGTCAATAGGTCTCAACCTATTTTAGAAAGTCGTCGAGGTTGTGTTTTATGTGAATTGCATATTCTTCAGATAAGAGTTCTGAGATGTGATTTGATAATTGGCCACAGGGACCGATCATTCAGGACGCCTCGATGCGCGTGCTAAAGTAGTATAGCGTGGACTCCAGGTGAGTGGATCTTTTCCTTTTTATTGTGCATATTATTGAGAGTTCTATCGACACCTTTAAATTGATTAGGCATATTACTTTCATATATAATTATTGTGAATGCTTGACGTACAATGTGAACTACGAATGGCTTGATCCCTGTTTAGGGTACGTAGGCAGTCTAACGAGACGTTAGATGCAGCCATAAAATATTTGAGACAAAAGCCTTGCTTGGGAAATTGAGTAATGCGAAGGAAATTGGTAAAGACAAGTTTTAGTTTTGTGAATTAGTTAGTTAAATTAGAGTTAATTGGATTGTTATGGATAAGTATCCCTGAAAATAAGTAGTTTGGGAGTATGGCGTTATTGATTGTACACTTCACACCATATTGTTTATAATTGAAAATGCTACGACATGGTTGAGTAGTAGATTGCATCATGATATATCCATATGTATATTACTTGCTTATAATTATTGGGAATGCTTTCAAGTGCAAAGGTGAACTCAGGACACCCAGGTAAGTTCAGGTGAGTTTATGGTATTAATTGAATCGATTGAGTTATAGCATGACTACAGTTATGAGTTAGGCAACTTCGATACTGTCGTACTGGTTGCCATGTGCTGCACATGATTGATGAGATATGGATAAGTCGTATAGGTCACTATAGGTGACTCCGACTTATATGCTAGCCATGATTGATGAGATATGGATAAGTCGTACAGGTCACTATAGGTGACTCCGACTTATATGCTAGCCATGATTGATGAGATATGGATAAGTCGTACAGGTCACTATAGGTGACTCCGACTTATATGCTAGCCATGATTGATGAGATATGGATAAGTCGTATAGGTCACTATAGGTGACTCCGACTTATATGCTAGCCATGATTGATGAGATATGGATAAGTCGTACAGGTCACTATAGGTGACTCCGACTTATATGCTAGCCATGATTGATGAGATATGGATAAGTCGTACAGGTCACTATAGGTGACTCCGACTTATATGCTAGCCATGATTGATGAGATATGGATAAGTCGTACAGGTCACTATAGGTGACTCCGACTTATATGCTAGCCAGGATTGATGAGATATGGATAAGTCGTATAGGTCACTATAGGTGACTCCGACTTATATGCTAGCCATGATTGATGAGATATGGATAAGTCGTACAGGTCACTATAGGTGACTCCGACTTACATGCTAGCCAAGATTGACGAGATGTGGATAAGTCGTACAGGTCACTATAGGTGACTCCGACTTATATGCTAGCCAGGATTGACGAGATGTGGATAAGTCGTACAGGTCACTATAGGCGACTCCGACTTATATACTAGCCATGATTGATGAGATACAGATAAGTTGTACATGTCATTTTAGCTGACTCTGATTGATATATCATTTTGTATTGATTTAGTTCATTTGGCCTACTTATTGATGTATGGTGGAGTTGATGGCGAACCGTGGTTTTGGTCATTTCCGAGTATGGTTTGGATATATGTATATATGTTGTACTGTCTTACGGAAAACGATACGGGTTGTACATTTAGGGGCATTACTTTTAGAGAGGTAGTAACTTTGGGAAGCTTGGTTTTATTGCTTACTCACACCTTCTCTTTGGTGCCCTCCAGGTTTTAGCTGCTGAGTTTGTATCGACAAAAATCTGTGGCGAATCTTAGTATTGATGGATATTTTTGAGGGTATGATTCTTACTCACATTACTGTACCTTACTTATGCTCTGACATCGCGCGTGAAATGGGTTCGCTCCCACTCGTAGCGCACTCTGGTATTTAGACACTTTTAGTTTCAAATTTAATCACTTTTTATGCACTATCACATTTTATGGCTTCGTCACCTTCCAGGTGTCGGCCAGCACAGCTCGATTCAGGGTCCAAGTGGACTTTCTGGGTTGGGGTGTGTCATTTTTTTTCACTCAAAAATGTGAAAATAAGTTGTTTTTAAGTGTTTACCAAACACTTTTTTAAGCTTGGCTTTTTTTATACCTACTTTTTATAAAAGCACATCAGTACCAAATCAGTACTTTATATGTTATTACATTGTGATATTTGTATCCAATCAATTGATCAAGGGTCCAAATTGTTAATAGTTTGTGCATAAAAAAAGGAATTTACCTTCAATTGTTACATTTTAGTGCCCGAATGCCATGTGTTGGTCTACAATTTACATATATTTAATATAATCATCATCTCAACAGTTAGATAGTGATTGTATCAACTATATATGCATATATTTTCACATGAATTATATATGATCGTCAAATAATGATTGTATTGAAAATGTAAGTATTGTAGTA